TGGAAAAAATGGAAATAAAGTCTTTGTAAATAGGGAAGGGTGGAGGGGATGAAGGGAGGGCTAGGAATGTAGAAAAAATGATAACCAAGATGCATCATGTAAAGGTACAATTCTTAATGAGAAATGTAATTGTGTTGCATATCTAAAATGTAGCAATAAAATAATTTAAGAAAAAAAAAAGAAATATCTTGATGGCTAAGCAAACAATAGAGGTAATTATAGCTTTGAAATTAAAGGAAGAGTCACCTGATCCAATAAATACAATCTGTTGTGAATTAGTGGAAGGGTTATAAAAAGAAGATAGAAGAGACAGATACAATACTAAAGCTTTTGTGTCTCACAGGAAAAAAAAAATGCTAAGAACGATTGGTCCTTTTCTTTTTGAAACCAGTGGCATTTCCAGCTCTGTCCCAAATTAGCTAATAAGTTAGTTTTCTTTTGAAATTACCATGCAGTGTACAAAACACTCTTTTATCCATTGCCTAATTTTATTGTTCACAACAATGATAAGGAAAGATATGAGCACAATACTGTTTTGTTTTTTTTCATTTTATACACAAACTAGTGAAGCGGTTAATTGATGTATTAACAGACACACAGGTAAAAACTAATGGAAATAAGGCATGAATCCATCCTTTGCCAATTCTATATCTGTCTTTTCTTTCAATTATACCATGTTGGCATTCATTCTCATGTGACCTTAAAACAGTCACTTTTCTCTGAACCAGGTTTTTTTCCCAGCAAAATGAATAAATGAAACTAAATCAGCAATTTCAAACCTGGGAAACTTTGAAAAGATTCCTAGGCCCTCTCAAACCTATTATAAAAATTCCAAATAATTTTGATGCTCTATGATCTTTTATCTGGCATCTTAAGTCTGAGATAAAAATGCCCCTTTGGATACATGAAGAATTTCCAAGAGGTTCACAGGCAATCAATTTTCAAATCCTCAACTTTCTTATATATTTTCTCCTAAAGCCTATCTCTGTGAATATGCTGTGGGTAATTACCTTTCTCTTATACCCTTTACCATCATTCATCACCAACTTTATAAAAGAATCATGTTATGGCACATTGCCTTGAAATGTGAAAACCTCTGGGAGATGAATTCAGGGACCATTCAAAATAATAGTTTTATTAAAGTTTAAATTAACTGAGGTTCTATAATACAGTTCCAAACCATCTCATTAAAAAATGTATTTTTGACTCCTCTAATCCCAGCACTTTGGGAAACTGAGGCAAGAGGACCTCAAGTTTGAGCCTGCCCGGGGCACCTTAGTAAATAATCAAGACCCTGTCTCAATGGGGTGGGGGGCTTGGTATGTAGCTCAGTGTGAAGGCTTTCACCAGTACTTCTTCCCCCTGGAGAAATGAATTTTGAAGGCAGGGGTTGTTGCTCAGTTGTACAGCACTTCCTTAGCATGTGTAAGGGACTGGGTTCAATCTCTAGCTCCACAAAAAAGAAAAAAAGGAAAAAAGTCTTCTAATAATAGTTTCCTTTTTGTTCAGTAATTATCAAATTTTTAATGTATAGTTTTGATCAATTGTGAATTAACAACAATAATCATGATATATCAAAATAAAATATTTAACAAATAAAACTTTGTGGTCACAGAAAATTTTAAAAACTTATATTAAATTTTTATTTTAGCAAAATATAATATAACCAATAAAAGACTTCTCAAAATAAAAATACATTAGAATTAAAGTGTGTGAAAGAAATTGAAAAAAAATAAAATTTACAAATACAAAAAGACTAACATATAATTTCCCACTGTTAAGGAGGATTTTATAATTTTTTAAATGATGTTGTTTCAAATTATTGCATTGGATATCTTTAAAAGAGTGATATAAAAGTTTGTTTTTAAATATCAGTCTTCATAAAACACCAAATGACAGTTGCCAAGGTACAAATGTGGTTTGTGAATTCTTAGTCCCCTATATTATAAAGTAGACTATTAGAACTGTGGGTTTGGAGCTTAGAGGCAATAACTAATATCTTAATACTTGTATAGTATCAGTTTAAACTTCTGATTTCAAAAAATAAGAACTAAAATACATCATGTTCTTGTACAAACACCCAATGATAAATGTAAATGTATTTTATACCTAAAATGTACTAATAAA